ACGGGAGTGTTTGCTCCCGTCAGCCTCCCACTGTCTGGACGCTGCAAAACTCAGCTTAAGGTGAGCCAACTCCAGCTACATATTCTATGTAACTTGAGTTGTGTACTAAAGCCGACCTTCCAGGTCTAGTGTAGACCTGGCCTCAGCGATGTGAAAAATTTCACACCCTGTACAATGTAGTTAGACTGGTTTGGCTCCCACTGTGGGTACAGATAAAGAATTCTTTCATTCACCTCACTACCTCCTTTAAGGGGAGTTGATTTACTGCAGCAGTGAAAACAACCCTTTCCCTTCTATTGGATTATGTTACACCTTTCTCTGCTAGACTGAGAAACCCATCATCAAATATTTACTCATTGTGTAGGTACTGTGAGACTGATCAAGTCATCCTGTAACATGCTCTGTGATAAACTAAACAGAGTTCCTGAAATATTTTGCTATATGCTATGTTTTCTAATAGTTGAATCATTCTTGTGCGTCCTCTCCCATGTACAATATTGTTTGCTTGCACCCACTTTATCAAGTAATCCAGTGTGCTCCATGATATTGACCTATTCTCTTCATTATTTACTATTTCCCTCTAATTTTTCTGTCATCTGCAAACTTTATCAGTGATGATTTTATGTTTTCTTCCAAGTCATAGATAAAAATGTAAAACAGCATGGGGCCAAGAACTGAGCCCTGTGAGATCCCACTAGAAACATACGTGATCAGTCAGGATTCCCTATTTAATGTGTGCTGTGTTGATTTTGTATCATTCTGGTTTCTTAAAGTGTTGGCAGTACCAAGACAAATGCCTTACAAAAATCTAAGTCTATTACAGCAACATGATTCCCTTTATTAATCACATATATAAACTCATTAAAAAAATCAAGTTTAGATGACCTGTTTTCCATCCACCCATATTGAGTGCCAATAATTATATTACCCTCCTAGACTTCTTTATTAATTGAGTCCTGTAGCAGCCATCCCATTATTTTGCCCAGGACTGACATCAGGATGATAGGCCTATAATTACCCAGCTTATCTAATTTATCCTTTTAAAATATTGAAACGTTAGCTTTCTACCAGTCTTCTGGAACTTCCTCAGTGCTCCAAGACATAAAAAATCAACATTCATGGTTAAGAGAGCTTGTTAAAACATCAAGACATGAAGGTTGAGCCATGTCAGAGTTAATTGAAGGAAAATTAACATGACCTAAATCATCATCATTTAATGGAGTTTTCTACATTTTCAACTAGGCACAAGAGCCTTCTTATCCCAACTGTGTTAGTGTGGCTTTATTTCCTTGAAATACCCCTATTTGTCATCTACACCTCTTCTCCCTTTAACATCTAAGGCCAGGTCTACACTAGACCCAGCTGCTCAACCTAAGGTACGCAACTCCAGCTACATAGAATACATAGCTGGAATCGGATTACTTTAAGCCGAGCTTGGCAGCATCCCCTTGGCAGGAGGCCAACAGGAGCAAACTCTTCGCAAAAGGAGGAGTACCAGATGCTAGCAGGAGTGCCCGCTGAGTTCGATATAGCGAGTCTTAACAGACTCGCTAAATCGAACTCTGGAAGATCGATCGCAGCAGCAGTGATCTTCCATTTAGTGAAGACAAGTCCTTAACAAAAGTCTCTACTTCTGCTTAACTCCCCAGCACCTACATTTATTAACATATGGCAGGTCAATACTACAAATTCACATCAGTGCCACTTTGGTGTAGACCAGGTCTGAGGCAGCAGGCTGTACTGCACGGGCGGGGAACCTCTTTGGGTTGGGGGACGCTGACCCACAGAAAAATCAGTCAGGGGCCAGACACAAGTGGGAAACAAAACAAAACCAACCAAACCCTCAGTGACATGGCCCCCAACTGAGAAGGAGAAAAATGCTCCCCACATTCCCCTCACACTAGAGGGTGGGGGGGGGAGGCTAGTAGATTTTTTATGTGCTCCAGCCCCACGGGAGGACAATGAGGGGACGGGTACAGCACCAGTGCAGGCTCCCTAAGGCTGGGAGGGAGCCCTGAGCCTCAGGGGCCAGGTTCAGGCAAGCTGGCTCCCAGGCTTTAGGTTCCTCACCCTGCTATACTGCATGCCTCAGGGCTTGAGTACAGAGACCACAGTCCAATAGTGTCTCATGGTATCCTTGTACTCCCCCATCTATCTGTATGTACATCTCTTGTTTTTTTCTTAGACTGTAAGCTCTTTGGAGCAGAGTCTGTCTTTTTGCTCTGTGCCCATGCAGTGCGTAGCATAATGAGGTTCTTGTCCATGCCTCAGGCATTCAAGCTTAACTGCAATACAATTAATACATGATAGTTAATGACAGTTAATACAATGGATTTCAATGAGAGTTGCAAATACTCAGGTCTACTTAGATGTTTCACCAACTATTAATGTGAACTTGGAAATTATATACCTATGTAATGAACAGACTTTTAACAGGTGTTTTCAGGCCCACTTAGTCATAAACATTACCTATTATTAATCTCTTTTCGAAGGGTTGGGAGGACCCTATAGGGTTAGAACCTTCTTTTCATCACTCATCTGCAGGAAACTGAAATAAAATCTCCCTCAGACAATGCTACCAGTGACCAGAACCCTGTTCCTGAACAAAAGCCCTTTTGTTCATTGAGGGGAAGTAGGCATCAATTTCCTTGTTATTTCAGTTTTGGACTCTCCCTAGTCCAAGATGCTGGCTGTACAGTAACACTGTAATATGGCTCCTTTCTATATAAGGGAGTGAAACAACTCATGAGACTCTTCTGCTTAATATGTCTATGATCTGACATGTTCACACACACAATTCATAAATTAGTTCTTAATTTCATGGGCTAAAAAAATTACGTGAGTCCATGTTTCAAGTAGAGAAGCAGTGAGGTGTCTTTTCTTCCATGTACAATATTATCTGGTTTAATGTATCACCATTTCAGGATTTTTTAAGTGCCCAACCCCCCCCCTCCCCCACCACACACAAACACACAACAGCATCATCTTTAGTGCTTTGAGAAAGTTGCTTAGGCTTTTCCTTTTTTGGAGACACCAGAACTGAAGGATGCTGTGTCTAGTGAAAGATTTAGAAGCAGACCCTCGGTTAGTGTTAGTGGTCAGAGCTTCACTGAGGGCTGAAAGGCTGAAGGGCTCAAGCACCGATTCAGCATCTAGCTCTGTGCCCCAATCAGCTCTTCAGTGGCTGTGCTCACCACAACAGTACAAAACAGTATAGTAGAGAAAATGAAAAACATAAACAAGAAGGACATATGTAGGGAAGCAGAATGCAATTGCCTAATTGGAATTTAAACAGGGAATAGGACAAATATACTGTGTGAATATATATACCCACATACTTTCAGAATCTCTACACAACTCCTGGGAGCTACATGCTCCCTAACACCATAGTGGGAAATTGGATTAGTACTGACTCAGATAGGAGAGCAAGCCTACTGATTCAGCACCACTTCTTGCATCTCTTTGATTTTCAGGTCTCTCAATTACCGAACCTGCTTATGGGAACTGACAAGCCCCCAGCCTGAAGTGGTGTAGGTATCATGCCTCTATTTGCCTGGGGAGAAATTCACCCCTGCAGACAGGGACAGTACAAGAGCCACACCACTTAACCTCTATTCTGACAACTGAGATGAGTTTTAAGGGATGCAATAATCCTTGTACCAGCTGTCTGCCTGAGCCCTAGCCCAAAGCTCAATCAAAGCCTGACTATTTTAAGAGGCTGCAAATGGTTAAATTAACTGATTTATTGTTCCTTTTATTTCTCCAGTGCCTCAGAGTTTCCTGATGGCGGCAAGAACAGGAAGCAAAAATGCTGATACCAGGATATAGAAAAGCTGTTTTTACTGCATTTTGACCTGGCTGAAATCAGGTATTTCAGAAAGTCTTCCTTTTCTCATGAGCTTTTCAGCCCAATGTCATGAGCAGAGAGCATTCTGAGCCGTTCTTTTGGATGCTTCTTTGCCCTTTTGAAACTCACCCTCCTGAATGCTGCATGTTCACATTTTCTTTTCAGATTCCTTATCAAGGAAGCATCGCGGTGTTCTAATTTGGAGTTTCTGGAAGGCACTCCAAGCCCCTTCAGCAAGGTGAAATCAAAGCTGTGTGAAACAGACTGATACAGCGACGAAGTCACAAAAACTATGGAAACAAGAAGGGTGGTGTGAGGGTTTTTTTGCATTGTTTTGCTTTTTTGCAATGGAAGCCCCATTATCTGCTTACAATAACTAGTGCAAGACAGAATGCTTTCTGCTTTGTTTGGAGGAGGAGTCTGTATATTCCCCATAGATCGTAGGTCCCAGGACCCTTTGGGGGAGCATGGTTGGGGGTAGGGCCTTTGACCCTGGCTGGGGCTCCACTCCTGCTCCTGCCCCTGCCCCAACTGTGGCCCCAGCCTTGGCCCATTTACTTCTGTTCACACCCCTCACTACAAAGCTGTGAGTATGCTCCTGGTCCCAGTTGGGGTGAGAACAATTGCCCTAGAGATATACTTTTCATGAAGGCAACACAGGTTCAGACAGTGCTACCAAGTCCAGAGTGACAGGGGTCTCCAGTTCAAGGGGGCCGAGAGTCAGGGCCAGGTTGAAATGCCAGTGCGATGTTCCCTGTTCATACACCAATTCTGCATGGCGTTAAGTAAGAGCTACTTCATACTCAAAGTTCTATGGTGATAATTTGAGGCTCCAGGGGGAATCAAGATGGGATTTGGGGCTGGGATATAGATAGGGAGAAAGAACCACATTGTGAGGGCAGGAAGCGTCACTGTTGTTCCCAATTTTGACTGGACAAAGGAAGAGGACCACAAATAAGTTAGCTTCAGCCCCCAAGTCCTAGGGCCAGTTCTATACTGACACTGATCCTGGCATAGACTAGAGCAACCTATGGGTTCCTTCCTCTAGCATACCCTATACCCTGGGGCCCTGAGGTGGTGTAGGAATGGTTTAGTCCATCTCTTCACCCACTGGGGGCAACCACATCTGCAGCGATCTAGCCAATTTCCATGGCCTTTATGCCTCTCTGACTGTGCAAAGGGAATAGTGTGGATCAGAGAATCTTGGACTTTGCAGTCAAATGGCTTTCTAGACAGCTGCAGGAGTGCCTAATGTAGCCCTGCTTGCAGGCGAGCATCTGCAGTGCTTCCCCATACTGCTCCAGTGTCTTTTAATGTGTCACCTCTGGCAGGTCCCTGAGTTTAAAGCTGGCCTTGCATAGACAGAAATCTTGTGCACATGCACGAAGTTTGCAGGATGCTTATAGGAGATTGGGGTCATGGAGATAGCCAAGAGACATCTAACACCAATCCCATTGACTCATGGAATGAAACTATGTTTAACAGCCACAGTGCACAGCTGTCTGGTGACAAACCCGACATTAGTAATTTGGCTGGCCAGTGTGAGTGGGTTGTAAGCAAGCAGCACTAGGGAAAATCATTCTAACCCTTGGAAATCTGAGGGCTTTGCATTTGTTTCCATTTCATTAAATTGGTTCAATTTTTAAGGAAAGAGGAGAGAAGAGGCCTCAGAATTTTCTAGTTCTTACTTAAAGCCAGGACTATTTTTGAGAGGTGATCTTGCCTAGTGGTTAGCACACTGGATAGGGCTGCAAGGATCCTAGGTTCCATTTCTGGCTTTGCCACTGGTTGCTGCATGATTTTGGGCAAGGCACTGCCCTGATTTGTGCCTAAGATTTCCCATATATAAAACAGGACTAGTGATGCCCTCTAGCAAAAAACCCCAATGGCTGGAAATGGGGAGGACTCTGAGGTTTCCACAGAGAACTCTGTTCCCAGATGTATGGCTGGTAGGTCTTTCCCACATGATCAGGGTTCAACCAAGCTCCATATGTAAGGTCAGGAAGGAATTTCCCCACCCATCCCCCCCGAGGTCAGATTGGCAGAGACCCTGAGGGTTTTTGCCTTCCTTTGCCGCATGGGTCTCTTCTGGTTCAATATAAACCACCTTTTTATGAACATTTCATGGAAAAATAAACAGCTTTGAATCACTAAATGACCTAGAGTGAAGTTGTAAATATTTATTTAAAAATTTTAAACACTGAGAAAAATCTACTTTTTCCCTTGCTCAGTCGTATATGCAGGCAAAAAAAAAAAAAAAAAGATCTAATCCAGATAGCAAGATAGGGCAAAAATCGGCACTGAGGTAAGGTGGTGCACTTCACTGACTTTACTGGAGTCTCAGCTCTTTACTCAGAAACGGGTTTGGCCCTTAGACTACAACTCTTACTAAACGGGGTCAAGCTGTCCTGTACTCATGGGCCTCACAAGCCATGCAATAACACAGTTCCTCCAAGATGTTTGTTAAACATTTGTGAACTTTGTGCCAAGTGGGCTTCTGACAAAAGGTATTTGATGAATTATTCGGCTCAATATAATTTATCCCTCAAATAAAGGGAGATTCAGCTGTTTGCTGATGAGTAAATGTCATGCTTCAAAACAAGCACTCCTATTTAATTTCCCCAAAGTTAAGAAATTAAAGTAAACAAAAGCTGCAGCACTCACGGATGTGGCTGATCAGCATTTATAAGCCACTTACAATTGGGCTCTGTCATTAAATGATTTCAAGTTAGGGGAACATTAGCACTGGCACTATTACCCATCTCTGCATTAATATATCTCCAAGTATTTCAGTACAATAGTTTAGCTCTTTCAATCTGATTTAGCCCAGAACACAATGGACTGCCGTTTTGTGAGAGCATATAGGCTAAGTAGGGCTGGATAAAAAGTTAAGTAGG